CACCATCACTGTCACTGTTGCCGTCGCCATCTCATCCTCTTCATTCTTATTTGTGAGTTTTTCACCTCCATTCTTTTCGTGGATTTCATAGTTTTTGTGGTTTGATATGATTTTTTTTTTGGTTAAAAATATGATGTTTAATCTAAGTTTTTCACCTCCATTCTTTTCGTGGATTTCATAGTTTTAGTCTTTGATTTTATTAGATCTAAGTCTTTGATTTTATCTTTATTAAATCTTAGTGCTTCGATCTGGTGGCTGAAGGTGAAGCTAGTGATGTTATTACGGCAAGAAAGAATCAATATTTGCTCCATCAGAATGCTTTTAAATAACTGGTGAAAGACTTCCTTTGAGGCTTTATTCTCCCATTTCCATCTTGATCAGTAGGGTGAAACATAGACTAAAAAAAAATTTTCACTACAGTTATTTATATAACCGCTGTGAAAAGTCACATACCACGGTGGTTCTTAAACCGCCGTGAAATCCTCTACATTTTATGTCGATGGCATAGACGTCGGTCTCAAAACCACCGTAAAAAGCTCATTTTAACTGCCGTTAAATTTTTTTTTGTAGTAGTGATCTCTCCTCTTGAAAAGAGTACATGTTGAATAATTTATAGACTAAGAATCTTGAAAACCCTAAAATGAAAACCCTCATTGATACCTAAGCCCTAAAAGCCCATTATAAGCTATTAGAGCTTAAAACACCACCAAATAAAATGCATAAAAAATAGATGGGAAAATGCAAAAAAAATAGGAAAATTAGAAGACCTTCTAGAATACTCTAACTTGCTAGTCAAAATAAAATAATCTAGATCACTCACTACCTAAGAGGATCCCATCATTAATGATAAGGATCTTATTTGACTCTACTAATTAATAAAATACATATTAGGAAACTCTTTGCCTTCGAGAAGTAATCATATAAAATAGGAAACTGTAAAATAGGAAACTAATTAAAACAAATAGAATCATATTTAATGTCATATAAGATCACTCATGATACTTCTTGAATCTTCATGGACCTTCCAACTGGATCTTCATAATTGCTATTCATGTCCATAAGCATGCGTGGGCCTTTTAGACATCCATTTGGGCTTGAATATGATTGAATCAAATTCTGAAACTCACATGGTCTACAATATAATGTATTTGGGCTCTAATTTAAAAGATTATAGCTCCAATAGACTTCTTCCAAGTACATATTTGTGTTGGGCCTTTAATAACATAGAAATTGACTTCAAATGCTCCTTTTGGGCTCTTAGAACGTGCTCTTGTCTTTCTCAAGGTTGAAGTGTCCAGACTCCAATGACTCACATGCCATGGTGGCTTTCGGGTGGCCTTCCATATGTCATGTTAAGCTCCACATGTATCCATGTCATCATCTAAGCAATGATCTATGTCATCCTCCATATAGGCATTCTTGACTTATAAATTCCTTAAATACTTTGGAGGGCATATAGGGCCTCTAACTGAATGAGTGCTATTTCAACTTCACTACCTCCACATTAAACGCCCTCCTAGTATGCTATCATTCATGCATTAAAAGTGGAGAGATAGGATTTTTACAACCTTATGATAAAGTGGTTGATTAAGTGGATTTGAGAAAGAAATACCCCAACTTGGTGAATAGAGTGAAACAGTTATATCTTGAGTGTTCTTCTCTTTTGTTCATTCCTATTACATTGATTGTTCTCTACTTTAATCCCTTCTCATAAACGTGGATCACTATGATTGCTTTTTTTTTTTTGAATTCATAAAGATTCCCATTTGTATTATTGCTATTCCCTTCTTTGGTCTTGTATTGCCTTTGTCCAGGAATACAAAGGTTTAAGTGTGGGGGAATTGATTGGGCCCAATTCTTTTATATCTCTTCATATCTTTTTCAGGGCTTTTATCATAGTTAGTAACTCTTTTAGTGATAATTGTGCTTGATTTAGATTGAGAGTTGTTACTTTGAGTTAGTGTTTTTTTGAGTATAAAATTGTCATAATTAGTTATTAATTGTATTCAATTGAATTTTAGGAACAATTAATGCTTCAAATTGTTTTTTTTATTGCAGGAGCCAAGATTGGAGATCAAGGATTATACAATAACAGGACCTAGAATATTGTTCCTAGAAAGCTTCTTCGTTGCGACCAAGATAATTATGCACCGCAGCGCAATTGGAAGATGTGCATTAATGTCGTCTCGAGATGTCTTTGCCACAACCACAATTCAACTTCGCCGTGACAAACAAAATTTTGCTGAAGCTCCTTTCAGGAAAGCTTCACCGTGGCAAACAATTCCCTTCGCCAGGGTGAAGTCCTCATATCAGCAACCCAGATTCAGATCCTAATCATAAAATTAGAGTACTCACTCGTTAAATCCGACCCATTTCACCCCCTAAACATTTAGAAACCCCTATTTTTGACCTATCACTCCATTCACTCATCCATGGCCTCCCCCATTCGTCCTCTCTCATTTTCCCCCGTTAAACCTTTATCTTCTTCTATTTTTCCTACGTTTTCCACCATGGGTATCTCAAAATCATTGATGATTGTGGTGCTTCCTCCTGCTCCAGTGCGTGGCTAGGTATCAGTTTTCTTGAAGATGGGTTGATTAGCATGAGTTCCAGAGCTTCAAAGGTTAGTTGATTTCATCGATAGTTCTAGTTGCTCTTTTATGAATTCCTAGATCTAGGGTTTGTAAAATTGTGGCTGAACTATGTTGATTATGATTGTAATTAATTCTAGATGATTATCTTGTGTATGGGATTAGTTAATGTTGAATGTGAGCTTCTGTATATGTGATTACATATATGTTTCTTTGTGATTCTGTTGATACTCTCTTTCTTGCATGATATTGTGTAATTGTTGAGTTAATCTAGATTTACATTGAACCAAGTACATTAATTAATTGTAATACAAATACTTAGTGCGCTTCATAGGGTTTTATGATTAGATGGTCATTTATTAAGATCCTAAAGTTAAAGGATTCTTGAAAGTTTTTCATTTAGAAAACTTAGTGATTTCTACTCCTAAAATCATTTTGAGCTATGATTGCCAAAGATCTATTTTTAAGAGGTTCAATCAACTGTTTTTTAATACTTATTTTTCCATCCATTCCATCCTAATCTCCTGAAAATCCAAAATTATATTTACATTACACTTTATTTCAATTAATAGTTTTAAATGAAAACACCTCAACTTTTTCCTAGTCAATCTATGTTTTTATGACATTTAGTTAACTTAGGGTCAATAACTAATGGCTTTAACAAGAGAACGACCCAGGGTTGCACCTTATAGTGCTATCCTTAGATAAATTTTGCATTTAACCCTAAAGCATTAAGCGAATGGTTAAATCATCCATTCTTCCAAACTTAACCCTTAACAAAATATATTATTCTGTCCATGTCCTCTCTCCCCCATTTTGGTGCCAAACCATGCAAAAAAATTAGGAAAAATTTTGCTCCAACAAGCTTTTAGTTATTATACTGTATAATTTTTCAATATCGGTTAAATTTTTCTGGGTCCTATCTAATCCAATACTTTTAAAAATTTATCTCTCTGCCCCAATAACTTCCTTCTGATGAGGAGAGGTTCTCTTTTTTTCTTTCATATTTAATTTTGACCTATAACTCTTTCTATTCAATTTTTTCTAGAATCAACTTTATTTATTTTAAAGCTAACCTCCACACTTTTAGAGGTTAGCAATAATTTTAAAATTTATAATAACCTTTAAAATAATTTTTCTCATTTTTTCATGAATTACTGAGGCCTCTATATATTTTAAAATAATTCATTTTGACCATTTTTTCCTAATCAGCCAAAAATACCATTAATTACAAAAAATTCAAAAATAAACTATTTTCATGTTTTCATTTTCATCAAGCCTCAACACTGTTCTAAACCTTTTTTTGTTCTATTTTTATGAATTTTTGGATATTTTGAGAATTTCGAGCATAATTTCCTCTTCTACTCTCTTCTGGACCAAAACTTTTTAAAACGACAGTTTCACTTCAAAAGTTATTCTATCTATGTTTCTACTATACTGTCTGGCCCTCAATCAATCCTAAATTCCTCATTTTGCATGTTATAATTAATAGGATATGACATGCAACATATATTTTGATTTTAGGAGAGGTCCTATAGGTTTCCAAAATTAAAAAAAGTCTCTATAATTTAGGTAAATTAAAGGGGAGGTTAATATATTTTACTCAAATATATTTTAATGTATTTTGACATTTCTTGTTATGAGTTTCAACCTAAAATGCTTATGTCATGATACTAGATTTGCCCCACGATTTAAGAAATTCATTACAAATAGAAAAACATTTTATCTAATCTAAACCATAAAATTTTAAAAATTGTTCACTAAGGCATAGAAATGTAAATATGAATTTTGAAAGAAAGAACCTAAAAGTGTTACTGAATACATGTGTGCATCTAATAGAAATTTCTACCCAGCTTTTTGATGCCATGTTGCGTTTGAATTGGTTGAGGCACAATTTGACCCAAAACAAAAAACAAAAAAAGAATGAGTTGAGCCACCATACAATTCAACTAGGTTTTCTAATTTGATTTTGAAGGAAACTGACAGTTAACTACTTATATTTTTTCAATTAATACAAAATTACCATATCTCTTAGCAAAAATCACCAAACAAAACCACCGAAATTAAAAAAAAAATTGTAAATAAAGACATGTTGATATTAATATGAGTTTTAACAACAATAGTATAGGTTTTGACAACTTTTGTGAACAGATCACTATATGCAATTTTTTAATTTCAGCAATCTTTTTCTGTGATTTTTCATATCTCTTTTCTTTTAATCTTTTAGTGCAAATTAAAAGGGAATCATGCTACATGATGAGAGAGGCAACATTCAATTTTTAATTCATGATAAGCACAATTGTACCACCTTCGACTTTAGAGTGCTTCGTGTGCCAATAATTGAGACAGAACTTTTAAGTTAATCGAAAATTCTTTAACCCAAAGTCATTTTAGAATTGATGATCAATGTTAATATCCACCGGCCAATACTCAGCATTGCAACAACTTTAACACCAACAAAAAACACTACTCAAAACAGTTTCAGATATTGAGTTCTCGTTGTGAAATAGTTGAGGAGAGACAATGCTCTTTAACCCAACTTTTTAACTATCTGTGACGGGTGATGTTTCCATGAGGAAAATATAATGAAGTGCATGTGCAATGTGGAAGAAAAAAATTACATGCAAAAACAATAGAATGAGAAATTAACAAGAAATAACATGACCGGTTCATTACGAACCAGCCCTCAATACCCAAAACAAAAAGAAAAGCGCTACGTGAGAAAGTGTACATATTTGCAAGTTTAGGTCTTGACTCCCTGAAAAGACGAATATAGGATCCTGAAGAGTCCATCTGGGTTATCTGCATGTACCTGTTGAAGAGGAAAAGTTAGTTTCATTACACAATGACAAGCTACCACATGTACTACAATACTCCCTCGTTTCCATTTAAAATACAGCCACTTGAAGCGTAATTAATAGGCCCAATAGAATGCTGGACAATTATAAGATCTAAATATGACTCAATCAACTCACAACTCTCTGTAAGTTGAGCAATTCAAAGAAATTTCTATCCTCCAATTTACATTATTGGTACGACGCATGCTACCACTCAATAATCTAAATGTTGCACTTAACAAGTCTTTGACAGACTAATGGTAGCCTAGTTCCAACATACTCAACATCACAAACACGCGCACACACAAGGTTGAAATGCATTTTTGCCCTAAAAATACCCTTGGATGAGCTATGAACACCTTGTAGAAAATTGCAGGGCAACATAGCACATAATCTTTCAAACTCGGTACAATGTCCCCCTTTTTAACAATCAATAATACAAACCAAGAGACTTCCATTGACGCAAAATTGGTTATTAAAAAAAGGACAACATTGCAACAACATTGAAAGATTATGTGCTACATTGTTATGTAATTATCTTTAGAGTGCCCATAGCTCATTCAAGAATACTTCTGGAGCAAGAATGCACTTTAACACATATACATTGTGTGTCTCAAAGCCTGAAGATCTATCTCCAAAATCAACATAAATGCGATATGTTCAAAAGGTAAGGACCAACAAACACGCCAGCAAGCTTAAAGATCAACTAGAGAACACATTTCAGAGTTGATCTTAAGCATTCATGTTGGGACGAATAGATAGACAAGACAACAAAAGGGAATGTAATCAAAAAAAGATTTGTAGCATCATGCTTTTATTATTAATCAAAAATGTCTCTCTTTTTATTACTTAAGCAAGGACATAAGGTTATTTTATCATCCCAACCTCATTCATTTTTCATTTTTGTAACTAACTTCCCATCATACCAAACATAAAAGACATGCAAAGGGCACAAGCATACTCTACGTGACTAACTTACCCAGTGGCCAGCATCTTCAAGAACATGCATTTCAACTCCACCACCTTCCTCGGCAGCCAGCTCCTCAGCAGCATGGATTCGTTCAAGATCTTCAAGAGCCCATCTGTGTAGACTTCTCTCTGCTTTCAGAAAGTTCATATGCACACCACGAGGAACATTTTCAACAATTTTCCTACGAGAATGAAAAAACAAAAAAGGAAAAAGCTAAATCATTGACTCCATAGACAAACTTTTCCAGAATGGATTATTTTTATTTAAATTTTAGTGCTTATATCATTAACTTAAAGATTCATGAGTGCATTAAATAAGGAATACTTTCTCCAGTTATGCAGCCAACATTTCTTATTCAACTTGCACAGGCAATTTAAATCATGATAATTCATGACAGGATCGACCCCATATTGTGCAGATAAGTCAGGGCAATAAAATTCACACAACTACAGCTACTATAATAGCTCATAACAAGTACCACAAATTTGTTTCTTCATATGACTGATACATTTCAGCAATCGCCTTTAGGTCAAACATCCACGAGAAGCTTGACATTCGTGAGCCAAAAGGACTGGTTGGTTGTAGGTTAGTGACTACCCACTGCATGCCAAAAATAAAATTATCATCACTCTATCAGGACACTATTAATATTATTTTTCTCTTTATCATGTTTTAAATGTATAAAGTCAATTTCATTATTCATAACTTGACACAGACAAAAACATATTTTCAATCAGTCATCAAAAAGCCTGCTCAACAGACTTGAGTGTAGTTATTTCAATTAGAAAAAAACATATATTGGTCTTGGGATCTTATGATTAATAATTCATTTAGTTTTACAGTAGCAGCATACATTTTACAATTAATATGAAAATGAATTGGAAAGATTAATAATTCAATCTGTATTAGTTCTTTTGAATTTTCAATTTTGTTCGTGCATTTTTTTTTCTTTTTAAAGGAATGTTTCTTCCTTGCCAAACGTTAAAATGTATACCCCTACTATATTTACATATTATACCAAATAACTTCAGAATGAGAACCCAACAGCAATCAATATTGATGAACGATGTGGGAACGTTACCTGCGCGACATCATTAGAAAATCCTCGTTGAATTAGAGCTTTGACAACTTCCCTCTTCGATGAGACCTTAAGAAAAAGATCATAGAACAATTATAACTTTTCTCACAAAGACATAAACTTAATAAATTTTTTAGCAAGAGTTCAAGGCTTCTACTAAGGGACAACCATAGTACTTTGAGAACCCTAAAGAAAAAGGGGGAATGAGAATTAGCATGATTGACATGCACAAAATGTTGAGAAACACATTTTCTGATAGAAAGATAAACGTTATTAGCAAGACAACAGATGAGGATAAGTATATCCTCTAAAAGCCAAGGAAAACACAAAAGAAATGTTCCCACATCTCTTGTGCTACGTCTGTGTCAAATCTAGCAAATCCAGAGAGCCCCAAGCAGCTTGCTTATCTTGTATAAGAGACATGGGTGAGAAGTCGCATGCTAGCATTGCTTGCTCAGGCCCTCAAGAAAGTGGGGAAGAGAGGAAGTTGAAGCATAGAAATCAAGAAGGCAACCAAGCAGTACAATTACTTTAGATATAAGGTTGGAGGAAGAACATCAAACATAAGTCAAACAAAAATCTCTCCAACAACCAATCAAGAGACTCCTTTATTGCGATCCTCTCTGATAGGCTTCTACCATTTTGCAGTGGATTCAACAGACAATAAGATAAAATTGAACATTGAGCAATACCTTTTACAGTAGGTTCTACTTTACACACAATAAAATATGCCACATCTCATGCTGGAATATAGAGAATACAAAACAACCTCAAGACTCACCAGAACACAAATGCAGCCACATAGCATCACCAAGTTAACAGCAACTCATTCGGCCAAATAGCATCACACATGAAGGAAGTGACACAAGACATAGAAGGCACCAAATTGAAGAAAAGAAATAAACAGCAACACAGAAATTGAAGTACACAAAAACAGGGAATAAACCTACTAGCATTCAGTAGGTTAGCAACTCTCAGATATTTTCCCCAAATCTTTTCCACACTTTCTGTCCCTAATATCCCTCCTAACTATCTCTTTATCTTCGTATCAGCAACTGCCAACTCAAACTCTTAACGTCCACTGAGTCAATTATTCACCAATAGGTATTACAAGTATACAACAAGATATTTGCAGCTTAAGGGAATCAAAGATCTCAATGAATAAGGAGCAGAACCAGCAATATGCTAAAGCATACAATACCCTGTCAATCTATCCGATAATCTCTCTCTCTGCTATAATCAGAAAATAATACATTAAATATCAATGGCTACAAACTATATATGTTAGTCGGCCCAACCACAAAGTATCTTAATTATGCGGTATTAATGTTTAGCAAACTATTGTTCAACACAGACACATGACATGCTAGAGCATTACCTGACCAATGACAACCCTTGCACATAGCCTATCAATCAAGTCCGTTGTTAAACTAAGTCTATAGATAATGGAAAACAAAGGGAAAAAAATAATATCAATATACCCATGGGGGAGACAAAAACTTTGTACCAGCATTAAGTTTGTTGGGTGCTAAGTAAAGCTTCTTATTCTACTACAGATTGAACTACAAGCACAAGAAGCATTACCAAAGAGTGCACTCTCAAATGAGTTATTAAATATTTGTTATTTCCCTATTCAACCATACTTTCATCCCACTAAGTCCCATGTACCTTATCCAATTAACCGGTTAGGTAGCTAAAAATGTTAGTTAGATGCTAAGAATGTTGGCTTAGTCAGATGCAACTAAACTTAACACAAGTGAAACAAGCAAGTTTAGCTGACAAGGAGATTCACTTCACCCATTGTCCATTCCATAATAAAATAGAAAATCATAAACAAATAGTTAGTAACACTTATCTACAATAGTTAATTCATTTTTGTCATTCCCCTTGGTTAACTTGTAATTAACACCTACTTACTCAGTAGTTTGTAATCGAAGCAAAGAGACTCAAGTAACAACTTTTGCTATGGAAAAGAGCTCCATCACGCAACTCTCCAATAAAGAAGTTGCTTTATAGAATTATAGGTTAGGCCACCCAAGTCCTAATTATATGTCTAGAATGTTTCCAAATTCTACTAATAAAAATGTTTTTTCCCATTCCGTATGAAGTGTGTTAACTGTCCAAACATACAAAAGGCAATTACAAAGCCCATCCTCATCAATTTTCTTACCCTTTTTCTCTCATGCATAATAACATGTAGGGACCTACCCGTGTTTCAACCTTAACAAATGCAGAAATGGTTTCTGACACTAATAGATGATCACACACAAAGTTACTTGGGTGTTTCTTGTAACATCCTGAATTTTATCGGGTTTTAATTACCTCTTTTGGTTGATTTTGAGGATAGATTAGTGATTTAAATGTTGATCTTGGTGTTTGGGTTGGAATTGAGGTATGTTGCAGGAATAGGTGAAGGTACCTCCCTCAGGGTATGTTAGCCGCGGCGAAGTTTTACTTCGCCACGGCACACCGGGAGTTCCAGGGGAGAGTATCCTTTCGGGAAGGTTTCACCGCGGCGAAGGTTAGGGCATGCCGCGGCGAAGATTTTCTGGGCGAGCGAGAGTTTCCTCTCGGGAAGCTTTCGCCGCAGCGAAGTTGGGTTTTCAGGCGAGTAATCCCTCTCGAGATTAGTTCGCCGCGGCGAAGGAGTCCAAATCTCTATAGTCGCGGGAGGGGTTCAGTGTGCAAAAATTAGAAAAATCTGAGGTAGAGAGAGAGGCTCTACTAGGGTTTCGAATTTCTGGCTTGAAGGGGACATTTCTAAGGATCCATTACCTCAAGTAAGTGATTTTAACCTCTAAGCTATCTTCTTTCTTGGAATTTATAAGGATTTATGGTGAAACCCTAGAGTTTTCTAGGTTGTTATGGAATTGAGGTTTTTGACCGATTGTTTTGAGTTTAATTGCTTGCTTTGGGTTAGCCTAAGTATTTAATCGGTGTAGTTTTCTTGGATTTGGAGAACCTTGAGTTTTTGAAGCTAGGGTTTATGAGATTGGAAGGTATGTGATTGAAGATGACAATGTGGAGATTGATTTTGAGTTTTGTGACTTGGGTTATATTAAGGAGGGTTAAATTGGATGTTTAATCGGTTTAGAATGTTGTTAAGACTCCAATTATTCAAATGGGATGTTTAGGTGTAGAATTCCTATAGTGGGTCCTTGAGGTTTGAACTCTAATTGATGCTTAAAAAGGGGATTTGATGTTTTAATGGACTTTTATGATTTTGGAGTGTTGTTTTGATGGTTATACCCTTTGAATTGGGTAGAGCTTTGGTTGGAGCTAGGAATTTTGTGTCCCCAAGTGTTGTTTTGGCCACATTATTAGTTTGAAAGCTAATACATATGGTTGTGTGTTTGTGTGCTTGTGTAGACCGGTTGTGAGCCTTGTTGGTGCACAGACCGTATCGTTGGTTGTTATTCCTTGCTTAGGCGAGAAGTAACCACTTTCTAATCCTTAGTACATGCTTCTGTGGTATTGTGAGTAGATTTATGTTTTGTGCTCCGAGTAATAATTATGTTCAAAGTATATGTTATATATCAAAAGGAAAACCGTCTTGTGGGGTTTCGATTGATGATAAATGAATCTTGGAATCGTGAAAGATATGCCACTGAAAGAAGTTAATTATAAAATGTTCAATTACTATTTGATTATGGTTTGAGCATGATGCATGAATTGAGATTTGGTGAGAGTTTTTTATAGTCACTACCACGTGGTAAGACCTCCATTAATGCATGATAGTCACTACCTAGAATTGGAAAGGTTGGTTACTGAGACTCCGTCTTACCCCGTGGTTTCCAATGTTTTCAGGTGAAGTTTCTAGGCGTGCGCCTTTGGGAAGAGACGCAGAAGCTTGAGCTTGGTTAGCTTTAAGCCTCTAGCATTTGTTTATGTATGGCTAGTTATATATTGCCACAGTTAGGGTCCTTTTTAAATATTTTGATTACCCGGCCTTGTTGTAAATTGGGAAAATGTTTTCTCCTTATTTTAATTGGCCGGAGGCCATTTCTATTGCTTTGTGAGACTTTGTTATACATGGTTGAAAACTAATTGGATGGGCTGATTTTGATGTATGTTGTTACCCGGGCCGGAGGCTCGGAGGCCCAATAGATGTTAATGAATGATTCTTAGTTGCATGCAACAAAGTTCGAGTTTGAACCGAGTTTAAAAGTTAATTTCTAAAGTTATGTAATTTTTTTCTACTATGGTAGTTTGTTGTAACAGGTTTCCTTTTTTACCATAGTAGTGAATTTTACGACAAGTTTATAATGTTTTTGGGGTAAAGGGTTTTACATTTCTCACAAAAGAAAAATCAGACTTCACCTAAATCATCAGGAACTTCCACAAAATGATTATGAATCAATTTGACACATCAACAAAAATTCTACAGAGTGATAATAGGAGGAAATATGTGAACTCAAATCTTCAAGCATACCTTAAACAACATGAGATTATACACCAAATAAGCTTTGTAAACATACCGCAACAAAATGGGACAGCAGAAAGAAAAAATTGTCACCTCCTAGAAGTACCTTAATCCACCATGATAACCAATAACGTGCCAAAATTTTAATGGGGGGAAACACTTTTGACTGCCACACTCACAAATCGTCTACCATCCAAAACCCTCAACTTCAATACTCCAATCCATTATCTAAAACCTACCCAAACTCACTCATATTTTTGACAAAGTGTTCGAATGCATGGCATATGTTTAGCAATAACCATGGTAACAAACTTGACCCTCACACCATTAAGTACATATTTCTTGGCTATTCCTACACCCAAAAAAGGTACAAATGCTACTCACCCAGCTTGAAAAAAATTCTCTATCACAATGAACTTTAACCCTACTGCACCAAAACACCCATTCAGGAGGAGAGTGGAGAGGAATGAGAGTTTTTCCTTCCAGAAAATGAACCTCAAACAGCACCAAACCTTACTAGATCCACACCTAAACCCCAAACCACCGTGAATCCACCTTAGGCCGAGCCCATCCATTCTAGCTAATCATGGCCTCAATCTAAACCTGGACCGAACTGAAGAGCCCAGGAATGCTGGAAATGAGGAAT